GAAAAGATGGAAAATAATAATTTCTCCCATTTTACAGTCTGTCACACTGAACTTGTATACAAAAAGAAACCTTATGACTAATAAAATACATTTCACAATCGTGTAAAACAAAATAACAGGATAACAGAAGCATCACCGACTAAACATTTCCCTCTAGTGGACAAATTAACAATAGCGCATTACATTTTCACTTGCTTGTGCTTTACAGACAAAATGACTGTTAACAAGCTCACGTACCTGCAGAAGACATAAAACACACTCAACAGGTGTCTTCTGATGGTACCAGCAATTGTAGCTCCTACAATGTAAAACAACACCACAAAAAGCACAGAAAAACAGCAAATCCAAACACATTTCCTGCTGTGCGCAGCAACCACTAGGGGGCTGACAAAGACTTACTGCCAAAGAGCATAAATATGGCAGAAACACTATTTAACAGCAACCCGCCTTTGTTTCAGTTACACAGAAACTTTCTAACATCAATATGAACCTTTATACATCGACATGTACAACTTATGTAACAACATTCACACCAGAAACCATAAAAATGCCAGAGCCTTTCATTACAGGACTTGCCCTCACAGTGCAAACGCGCGCTGTGAGGAGCGGAAGCCTTAGCAGCTTCTAAACGTTAGAGTGAGATCTGGTTTCTGGGTTTTCAAAATAAAATACAATAAAAAAATAATAAAATTCACACTTAAAATTATAATTAAGAACAGGTAAGTGCATGTTTTTCATATGTATTTTTAACTCCGTTACAGATGCAGGGTCAGCACAGAGAGACAGAAACAGACAACCATTCACACTCACATTCACACCTATAGGCATATTAGAGTTACCAATAAACCTAACCCCACATGTCTTAAGACTGTGGGAGGAAGCCAGAACCCAAGTGGTTCCATTTTGAAGCCTGAAGATGAACATTTTTGCCATCCCCATCTTGGTGTTATGAAACTGAATGAGAGGTGGAGGGAGAGATTATGATTATGATTATGAGTTTGATTATGAGACTGCATGCTCATTGCTTACCGTCTTATGAGTGACAAGTCGGTAGGCCATCAGTATATCCTGGGTAATCCTTCTTTCTGACACTTTAGATGAACAAAATTTACAAAATGGGCTTAAAGCTTTAAATAACATTCCCTGCACTGAGCAACTGAGACCATAAGTGAGGAGCAAAGTGTTTATAGAGGTTAGAGAACCATTTTCCCATGTGCGTGCAACCACAGATAACGCCCCCTGCTGGCCTTTAAAAAGAATGCAGGTTTAAGACACATATTAGATTAGATTAGATAAAACTTTATTAATCCCTTGGGTGGGTTCCTCCAGGAAATTCAGTTTACACTAGCACAGCACCAACAGAAGTTCCATGTTACAGAGTTGGACTACCAAAAAATAAAATAGGGATAAATAGGATAAATAGGAATATCTGTAAAATATACCCATCGATGAGATGTAGACAGCCCAAGTCTATTGCACATTTCAACTATTGTAAATATATTGCACAGTGATTGTTGCACAGTCAAATATAAAAAAATATTGCACAGTGAAAAGCACTACAGTTTAGTTGTTCTCTCCCTCCTTTGTCCCCTCCCTTTCCCCTCCAGTGAGGAGTTAAACAGTAGACTTTGGAAGAAGCAACGCATGCTGAGCAGACTCCTCTGGCTGTTTATGACCATATGCAGTGGATGCCCAGCATTGTCCATAATGTCCAGCAGTTTCTTTAATGTCCTCTTCTCTGCCACTGCCACCAGTGTCCAGCTTCATGCCGACCACAGAGCTAACCTTCCTGCTAGATTTTACATGTACATATAAAGTGTCGCAAAGCATAATTTAATTTCATGTATGAGACTTATTTAGTTACATTCTGACTGTTAAAGCATCTGTCCCAAGCCAAGCATCAGTCTTTGAATAAATATGAAACTGTTTTTCATGGCTTGAGGGTAGCCCAAGGATAAAGCATTAACAGCCCCAAACAAGAGGCAAAGTACTTGAGGTAGGTTCTCAAGGCCCTCCATTAAATAGCTCCTTCAAAAAGAATGTTAGTAGACTCTGGTTTGAGGTGGAGAGGATTTGAAGAAATGGGCACTGCTTCATCAGAGACAGTCAGCACTCCCAACAGACTTTCCTCACTCGCACAATCCTGTTTTAAAGCAAAAAAAAAAAAAAAAGATTAGTTATTAGAAAACTGTTCCCATTTTGAATAAAAAACTCCTCCCTGTCTTTACACCAGGTGGAAATCCTGAAGTGCTTTATAAAAATTAAAAGAAAAAGAAAGAGAAAGAGTATACAATCAGCATTAATCTCTCAATTTAAGT